TATAGGTCTTAATTTACAACTTGATCATATGTGGATCGAGTTCTTCTGTAGGAACTCTGAATTCGACGTTAGAAATTCCTTCTCCAATATAAGGCGCTGACTGTGTTGCTAAAAAAGCAGGGTATTTTTTTCTAACTTAAAAAATTCGAAAAACACTATAACATCTGAAGAAAAAGGTGCCTACCAACAACATGTCGACGTCAAAAATCAAATGAGATTGGAGAGAACAAAAGATCGAGAAGATAAGGTCCCTACAATTTGTTTCGATTTACAAAATGTTATCTTATCACTTGTTCTCGTTCTGAAGTAGGAAATTTCTTTTACTCCCAAAAATTAAATATTTACAACCTCACAGCACATTTTTTAACAACTGGGCAAATATATTGTGCTATTTGGACTGAACCAAAACAAGGGAGGGGTGGGAATATCCTAAAGCACTTTCAGGAAAATGTTAGATCAAGTAATAGATGATAATAACAGATTTGAATACAGGGAGCGACTCATGTGTTTACCAAAATCGAAACTCCTTTATTTCATTTGCTATTATTGATGCAATGAGAACTCATCCCGAGTTAAACAGTATTACAATGAAATACTCTGTACCTAGCCATGGAGCTACTCAAGAAGTTGACAATGCACACAGCAATATTGAGAGATATATGAATAAAACAGAATTTTATTCGCCCTTGAGTTTTATAAAAAAATTAAAATCTGTTAACACCAGGCTACCTTATTGCATTTTGCAAATGAAAGACGACGATTTTAAAGATTTTGAAACTTGTGCAAAAAAACTTTCATTTAGCACAATTCCGTTTTCTTAAGTAGCCTCCTTAAAGTTTTCAAAAAGCCTATCAGAAATTCAATATAACTAAATCATGCTCATGACTTTATCAGAGTAAGCTTAAAACCCGAAAGAAATACTGCACGAAAAAGTCGAGGACAACAAAAAACATTGGAAGAGGGAAAATCTCTAATATTGACATTGACGGCGAAGGTTTTATCTTAAAAAAATAGCCTTTCACAAGATAAAATCAAGGCTATTAAGAAAATGATGACAGGTTGTATGCCAGACGTGGACAAAAAATATTTCCAAGCATTAATTAACGGTCTTAAGTAATTAGTTGTGTTTGTTTCTTACATTTAAAATTATTAAATTAGATGTTTTGCTTAGTATAAACATTGAATATCCAGAGGAGTTGGATATTCAATGGTATAAATAAAGATTTAAAGGGCACTTAGAACTTACTTTTTTTACTTTGGAATGATAAAACCGAAGTTTATCTGCCAGATAGAACTTTGTTTAATAAACTCAAATACGTGAGGTTAAATAACAAAGGTGTATCTGCTTGTGATAACTTTAAAATGAAATTGATTGCCTTGTTTCAGATTATTTGAAACTTTTTTAATTTAGGATTTTTTTTATTTATTATAGGTAAAGTTACTTTTTAATCTTAAGCTAAAATAGTAAAACCAAGCCGCATAAAATGTCTCAAAATGACCTCTGAACTTTGGGACAGTTTTTATGAGAGGTGTACGAATGGAACTATTTACAAAATACCAATTTTACGGCACGATTTCACCGTGAAGTGGAGCAAAAATCCTATACAAGGGTTGGTTGCAAGAAAAGTATTTTCCTATAAAATTGTGTCCGTCTTTAATGCAAAGTTGCATATTTGGTTGTATAAAATTTGATAATATTTTATCGGATTACTTACCTACATACGTTGGGCGAGCACGAAAAAAATATACTGGAAGGAGCACTAAAATTCTTTGACGGTGTTGAAGACAAACATGAACTATTGGATATTCTAGAAAGCATAAATTGTAGGTCTGTGGTAAGGAAAGATACTATTAAAACAGTATTAAGTGATATTGCACACAAGGAGGTTGTGCAGGAACCTAATTTATAATAGATTACCGACAGTCTATGTTACATAATGTGATAACTCAGGATGAATTTCAGAATGTATATAAAAATTGCAAACCTACTTTTAAAGCTATTCTAGATTTACTCAATGCTCCAGAGAAATTGGATTTCGAGTGCAAAACTACCCTCGATTTCTTAAAAAAATATATATTAGGGAAGCCACTTCCGAAAAACTGCAAATTCTTGCGGTTCTGCACCGGAGCAGATTTGCTGACTGGAAATAAAATAAATATTCAATTTAACAACACAACCGGATTATCACGAACCCCTATAAGAGACCTCAAGGTAGGTGGCGCTAAAGTCGAGAAATGGTACGAAAACATAACCTCACTTTATTTTAATGCAAAATGCCATATAATTGTTCTGTGTACAAGTTTAATTTGACCAAAAAAAAAACAAAGTATAAATTTCATGCGTTTCCGAGAGACCCTATACTAAAGAAGAATTGGGTAATTGCGATAAAGTCGGGTAAAGAACCATCAAGGCATGCAAGAGTGTGTGAAAAACATTTTCATCAGGAAGACTATATCACAACCAGTATAAAAAATTGATGTTCACGACACAAGGAACTGACCTCCTCTAAAAGTGTATCCTTTTCAGAGCATATGCCCTCAATTCGGGATCTGTCAACGGATTAAAATTAGTAATGCACACGATGTAAGGAAGGGTACATCCTATTACAATTACCTTCTGCCTTGTACTCACCTTACAGTATCAATCCGATCTTTTTTCAACCATAACTCGATGAGCAGTATCAAATGTTGCTTAAGCGTTCGAAGAGTGAAGCATTTCCCAGTAACAATTTCGACGTTACGTCTTAGTAAATCCCGGCCTTCATCATTAGGAAGAATGAAGGGATTTTTCGTCACAAACTCTCGAAGTAAAACTAAGTCATCATTGTAGGTGAATCTTAGTCTACCCTTTTTGGGAGTTTCACTATTCGTCAACTCACTCATTTAGAAGAATTGGGTAATTGAAAAAAAGAAATCAACAATAATCCACAAATAAATAAAAGCAAAAATTTTATAGGTTAATGATGGTAATCATCAGCTGATGCTTTAGCGAAAATAAGGTTACCTTAAATCCTTACCGTATTTGGTCGTAAGGTTCCCATCCAATAACTCCTGTGATGCTATAGTAGTGACGGCAGTATTTCGGTCATTATTTTTGAAGACATGCGCAAAACGAAAACAGATGTTTTTTTTTCTTAACATAAACATAACCTTTGCGGTTTACTTCAGTAGTAATATATGGCAGATTCTAAATCTCACTAGATGAAAATCCCTAGAAAAGTCACTAGAATTGAGTGGTTCTGAACTGTGGTAGCGAGGTTTGCGCCTGTGCTAACGTCAAGGGGTCGAGGTTTGCGCTCGAGATAAAATATCAGAGGTTTGCGTCCGAGCTAAAGTAAGTCGGTTTTGTGCCTGAGGGTTCTTGTCGATGGTAGTGTACGGCCGATTCTAAATCTCACTAGATGAAAATCCCCTAGAACAGTCACTAGAATTGAGTGGTTCTGAACTGCGCTAGCGAAGGTTACGCCAGAGCTAACGTCAAGGTTCTTGTCTGAAAACGAATATATGACTGATTCTAAATCACACTAACGTTAAGAGGTTTGCGTCTGGGCTAAAGTAATTTGATCATGTTGGAGGTTTGCGCTCAGAGATAAAGTATCAGAGGTTTGCATGCAGGCTAAAGTAAGGTTTGCGCTCGAGATGAAGTGGTTTGTTTATGAACTGAAGGTGGTATATAAAGGATAGGAATGAGTGCTGTAATATTCATCTTGGTATAGAAAGGGCATCCGTTACGATGACAAAAACAGCACCAACTACAACAACAAGAACAACATTTGTAAATATGAGCCGAAACCGCAAGAGAATTGAGGATTTGCTTAAGAAAATAAAGAGATTAAAATGGGACCTGGAGGTATTCGAGGTACAACGAAAATTGAGTAAAGTGCGCTTGCACACAGGAAGTTGAAAGAGCCAACGTCTATCAAAATTTTTTTTGTACTACACATGTATATTTAAGGGCTGGCGCTCGTATCAATAATTATTGTATGTACTTCAGCAGCAGTAAAGAAATAAAACACGCATGAATATTTGTTGTATAATTATTTAACGACGGGTGAAATTTCCTACGTACCTACGCAATTGAAGCGCGAAGGAGAAATGGGTTTAATCATAATGAATTACATTGACCTGTGCACGTAAAAATAAACATTTTATCTCGGAAACCGCGAAAGAATTATTCTCAATCTTCATTTCAATTTACATTGTCAATATTAGGTAGTAGGTACCTTATTTTTTACTAATGGGTCACATTTTTAAACCTTAATAGAACTAATTTTTAATAGCAGAATATAAGTAATTTTAGGTAAATGAACAAAAAGCAGCACATTTATTCAAAAAAGGTGGGAGAACAAATTTTGGATCAATATTTCGGATGGAAATAAAAAAAAACTGCTCCGATGTTGCAGTAAATCGAGCGGGATTTACTCGAAGCGTTTACGATACAGCGGAAGCGAGCAGCGTTCAAAGGCGATATCGGTACCTTGTAGGTGAATGAATGAATACAACTCATATGTGTCCGCGGAGTTCGTCTGAAACACCATCACCTTTATTAGGATGAAGGCTCCCCGCGCGCGCTATCCGCGCGGCTGCTGCACCACCGCGACCGCGCGGTCCCCGCGGCTGTCTATCATCCGTACTTAAGCTTGATCGTAGGAGCGCGCCTCGCGCGCTTCCTTTATGCGATCGCCGTAATTTTGTGTACATTACGTACAATTGGTAAAAAGCGAGATCGTGGAAGTACGCTACTTGTAGCGAGCTTCTTTATATGCGATCACATTTGAAACTGATTAGAACCTACGAATTTTTTTAATCCGTGGACCGCGAAATTTTTGAACGTAATACGCGGTCTTGCTTCAAGTGCGCTTATGCAACTATACATGCGGTCTCCTGCATTTTGGGCTGCATAGCCTAACAGATTACGCTATAAGTATTTTTTCTATCTAAATGTTTTCACACAGACATCTTTTTTCTTGCCCATGATTCATGACTACACCACCACCACCAAGTAAAAAAAGAAGAGTTTATGTGTATTTGCTATTTATTACTTAAATCTAGATATATACAAAAAAAACCTATTTACTATTTATTACCTACTTCAATCTATATATACAAAACAGAAACACCTATTTTCTGCATTTAAGAAATTTCAAAAACTCCCCTATGTACACCTCATCCTTTTCCAGACGCTTTTCGTCCGCCTTTGCCGCCTCTAGCTGCCGCTCCAACTCAGCCGTCTTCACTCGCGCCTCCAGCAGCTTGGCCCGGTACACCGGCTCCATTTGCTTTAAGCTGCTGTAGGTGGTTAGGGCTAGCTCCCTGGGGGTCTTTGGTTGAAGCGACCCCCCCTCTTGTTGTGACGACTGAAGTGGTTGTGGCGGTGATGGTCTTTCGGGGCGGTACCCCTCCTCCAGGTCGACCATATGCATCATATCCCCCAAATTTTTCCCCCTTTTTTTGATTCCGCTCGTCGAAGAGGCGTGGTCATGGCTGTGACTGTAATCAATAAAAAATAATTTGTTACGATTGAGTTCGATTAGTATTTTATGACATAAACTTACGATCGTTTTTTTCCCGCTTCACGGCCGGATTCTGCCGGTGTAGGAGGAGCAGGAGCCGGTGTTGCTGCTGGTAGGGGTGGTGGTGGCGGCGGTGGAAGATGTAGCTGTAGTGGTGGTAGCTGTGGTGGCGGTATAGGCGACCGCATGGCCTCGGCGCTCAAGGTGGGCGTCGGTACTATGCTGAAATTAGAGAATTTTATCGTTAGCGCCTAGAAAATAAAAAATCCATTTTTACTTACCGAGCTGGCTCGAAAAGAAAATCTGCCGCCGGATCCCCTTCCAACTGAGCCAGAAGCATATCCAGCTCGAAATTTTCGCCCATATTCCCGGTTCTGTAAAAAAAAAAATCAATCAAATTTTTAACATAACGAGAAAGAAGGAAAAAATAACTTAAAAAAAATATATAAATAAATAAATATTGTATACTTACGCAAATGTCGAATTATCTGAGTGTATTGTTATTACACTCAGATTATCGTCCAAGAGTGGTAATCCCTGGGGCGGCGGAACCGGATCCATCTGGGTTAACACCCCAGATGGCTTTGGCGGCGGTTTTTCGGTGGTGGTGCACGTCTTCGTCGACGACGTAGTCGGTGCTTTTATTAGCATCGACTGTAGAATTTGCACTTTGGGAACTTTAGGGGCTTTGGGCGCGCGGTTTAACTTTTTCGTTAGTTTTTTAGTTAGTGATGCCATTATAATAGCTCGATGCTAACTAGTAATTAGTGGGGAAAATTTTCAGTATATATTGTAAAATTGTTGTAATGGTTTGCGGAAAACTAAGGAGAGATTGCGTTAATGAGTGAGAAAGTTAGATCGTATGATTCTGGGATAAACCAGGTGCAGCGGCATGAACTCTTGCGCATATTTGACCCTGAACACCTGGTCTATATAAGGTGAGGGTGACGATACCAACATTACTTGCATCTTCAAATCCCCCCGCGGCTAGTATAGCACGTCGTGCGAGCGCAATACACCATCAACAGTGTCGATTGTACGTACGCGAGGTGTCTATGACAAGGATATCAGTACTCACATATCTTTTTTCCGAGAAAACAATAGTTCTTTAGATAGACAATTCCTGTAAGTAGTGATAATGGAGTCTACATCCGTTGCAATTCTTAGTAGTGAAATAGTTAAGCTGACCCGAAAAGCTGTTGCATTATTAAAAAATAAACCGGAAATGTTGAGACATATTTCGATATTAAGGACAAATATTTCATTGATACAAAATGCAATCAATAATAGAATTCATTTAGACAATCGCCTAGAGAACACCAGTAGGTACTTTAGAAAGTAATCTAGGAATTTTGAAATTTTATCTGGTTAGGTTACTTCAACAATTAAAAAAGGTTTCCGGAAAAAAGGGGGTTGTGGAATAAGTGATACCGCTACTAACAGTCCTTCTAGTAACAACGGTCCCAAATCTCGTGCCCTAATCTGGCAAACTTTAAATTCTTGCTTTCAGAGTCGACTACTTACCGGTATTATTGTAAATACGATATACAAGGATCCTTTAATATTTTTGGATAGGGCGTTTAATAACATTGCACGAAAGGTTAGGGAAATGTTAAATCAATCCATACTAAAAGTAAACGTGGTTCTTGCATGCGATTTCATACATCCTCAAAGTCTTAATGTAATGTAAAAATGTGATACGATTTACGATACAGGGAAAAACATTAAACTATTTCAAAGGCATGTACCTTACAGCATAGCTTTTTATTATATTTTTATTATTTATGTTGTTGAGAACTTGGCCCTTAAGGACACTGTATTTAAGGTTCAATATTTTAACACTTAAATAACATCACAATTTAATGGACTGTAAAAGAGAAATAAGACTTTTTACGTCTCAATTCATTACCGATAACCTTTACATTTTTAAACAAAGGCAAAATGGGCTTAAATAATGTAGTATTAATAGTTTAAATTGATTTTATACATATCGACCTGCTTCATATCATACGGCTCATTACACTAAACTGAGCGGTACGTTTAATTGTTTAAACAATTTGTCACATTTTTACAATCAAAAACAAACATGATAACTATACTTTGTTATTGAAACATTTAGATTTCCACCCAAATCATCAAAGTTTACTCATATAAATCCTCAACTTTAATTAGAGGGTACCTAAAGTTACGCAATGTACCATATATTTTAAAGGTGAGTGTGGTCTTAGCGTTGGCGGAATTGAATTTAGTATGTTAATAGTATATTGAAGTGTTAGAAGTGTTACAATGCGACCTATTGTAATACAACTATCTTGTGGCACGAGTGGCGACGCGAAGCGTAGCCACGAGTGTCCGCATGATAGGAGTATTACAATA